ATTGCATGGGGTTAGGGCTTCAACATTCCATCTTTGGGGAGATCCAAACAGTCCATAGCAACAATGAAGTGGTCATTTTTTAAAAATCTTCACCCAAGAACATGATTATTGATTTTAGAGAGGTGAAAGGAGGAGAGAGAGAGGGAGAGAAACATCAGTGTGAGAGAGAAACATCATTCAGTTGCCTCTCATATGCACCCTGACCAGGAACCGAACCAGCAAGCTAGGCATGTGCCCTGACCAGAAATCGAACCTGCAACCTTTTGGTTTACAGGAATTCACTCCAACTAACTGAGCCACACTGGGCAGAGCTTTTTATTATTACTGAATTTCAGAGAGATACATAAATGTAAGTATAGTATATCAGTGTACATATATGAAATTTCATATATAACCTACTGTAATTAATAAAATATTAAATATAAATTAATATGCAATGTTGTTCTATACTAACTGCCAAATCTCATGGGCAGGGAAACTGTGACAGCCATGGTGTGCTCAGATAACCAGCTCTGTCCTGGTCCAACTCAAGCATTTCTTGTTGTCCTGACTCTGCATCACCTGTGATCCCTTCTGTGCCTTGGGCCATCTGTGTGGAAGGGTTGCTACTTTTATCAAAGATATGTTAATACTAAATGAACAGACTTCTCTTTATCCTCTTGAAATTGACCAGACTTCAGAATTTAGGCCTAGTGGCTACAGCTTTAGCTTTCCTTGTGCCTTTTGGACAGTTGCAATAACATACCAAGTTAATCTTAAGCTATAAATCCCCTTAGAGTGACAACTAATTATGTCAGTAACTAGTTAACTCTTCAGAGGGCCAAATCTTTGTTAATTCTAATTTAGGGTTGCACATGATAGTATCTCTTTGAAGACTTAGAATTTTCTCTAGCTAAATTTAAACATTTTATGCCTGAACAAGAACATTATAAAACATTTAATAAGCTTCTTTAAAGTTAAAATTTAAAGCCAACCTTACAAATTTAGAATGATCCTTATTTTTGCCTTTCTGTATCCAGATGGGAAAGTAGAATAATTAATCTTCCTAATCTTGGTTTAAAGAGCTATGAGACCATCTGAGGATATTATCTCACACACAATATAGTTGTCAGAGAGTTAGCCAAGCCATTCCATAATATCGTTGTCTTGGTATCCATTTTGTGTGGCCAAGCAACCTGCAGGGGCCTTAAACTATCATTGACCCCTTCCAAAAGCACATGCGCTAGATAATAGCACACAGAGTCACAAGTAAATGTAAGTTACTGATATGACTCCCTCCAAGGCCCTTGTGATAAACAGCCACCCCAACCCCCAACTCCTTCTAGAGCCTTTACTTTGTGTGCCCTTTAGGTAAGACCCTATGTGAAGCTTACCAAAACCATGCTCTTTTTGGTTTGAGTTGCTCAATCTGGCTTTAGCTTGAGGACCCCAAAGCATACCACACACTGACTCTAATAAAGGCATTTGATTCAGGTCACACCACTTTCTTTACTTGTAGCCCTGCTGGACCCTCAAAACATGCTGTGTATTTCCTCCAGGACTTGTGAGTAATAAACTTCTCTATTTCAATTTTTCTTGTGGTCTTTTGTGGAACTATGGCTTACCACCTGACACAAGTGTTAATTTAACAAAGTCACAACAAGAGGCTATACTAATATCAGACAAAATAGATTATAAAACAAGAAACTATTACTAGATATAAAGAGGAAATTTTATAAGAGTCCATACACCAGAAATACATAACAACTATAAAGATATATACAACAGAGCGTCAAAATACATAAAACACAAACTGTCAGAGTTGAAGAGAGAAACAACAATTCAACAATAATAGTTAGAGACTTCCATATAACTTTCAATAACGAATAGAACACTTAGACAGAAGATCAGTAAGGAATTAAAAGATTTGAACAACACTATACACCAACTAGACCTAATACAGATATCTACAGAGCACTCTGACTGACAACAGAAGAATGCAAATTCTTCTGAAGAGCTGGAAAAGTCTCTGGAATAGACTATATGGTAGGTCATAAAACAAATCTCAACAAATTAAAGAGAACTGAAATCACAGAAAGTATGTTCTTTGATCACAATAGTGAAATTAGAAATTAATAACAGAAAGATTTTGGGGAAATTCACAAATATGGGGAAATGAACAACACATTTCTAAATAACCAATGGACAAAGAGGATATGAAAAAGGAAATTAGTAAAAACTTTGACATAAATAAAATGATAAAAGTTATGGGATGTAGCTAAAGCAGTTTTAGAAGAAAACTTAGAGGTTCAATGCCTACATTTAAAAAAAAAAGAAGGAACATGTCAAATCAGTAAGCTAATCTTCCACCTTAAAATACTTCGGGGGGAAGTGGGGAGCAAACTAAAACCAACACATACAGATGAAAAAAATAATAAAAGAGAGAATTAAAAATAATAGAGAAAACCAACAAAACCAGTGGTTGGTTTCTTCAAAAGATAAACAAAAGTGATAAAACTTTAGCTAAAGTGACTGAGGGCAGGGGCGGGGAGAAAGACTCACATTAGTAAAATTAGGAATAAAAGAAAGGACATTGCTATTGACCCTATAGATAGATATATAAAGGATTATAAGAAAATATGAAAAACTGTAGGCCAACATTTAGGTAACTTAGATGAAATGGACACAAACCATCAAAACTGACTCAAAAAGAAAATCTGAACAGATCTATAACAAGAAATTGAACTAGTAATTTTAAAACTATCTACAAAGAAAAGCCCAGACCTATATGACTTCATTGCTGAATTCTACCAAACATTTAAAGAAGGAGAAATAGAAATTCTTCACAAACACTTCCAAAAATTAGAATCGGAAGGAACACTTCCCAACTCATTCTATGAGGCCAGTATTAGCCTGATACCAAAATCAGACAAAGACATCATAAGAAAACTACAGACCAATATTTCTCATAAATACTCATGATGTTAAATGATGTTAAATGATGCTAAATGATGTTAAAAATCCTCAACAAACTACTAAACTCAATCTAGCAATATACGAAAAGAACTAAACACCATAACCAAGTGGGATTTATATCAGGAATGCAAGATTTGTTTATCATTCAAAAAATCAATTAATGTAATATGCCATATCAATAGATTAAAGGACAGAAACTACATGACCACCTCAATAAATGCTAAAAAAAATGCAACAAAATTCAACATTCCTGCATGATAAACATACACAACCAACTGGTAATTGATGGGAACTTCCTCATTAAAGAGGGCATCTATGAAAACCTGCACTCACTTCATACTTAGTGATGAAAGACTGAATCCTTTCCCCCTAAAAACAGGAAAAATACAAGAAGTGCAAAACTTATAATCTGAGAACTACAAAACATTGCTGAAAACCTAAATAAATGGAAAGATACCCCATGTTCATAGACTGGAAGGCTTTATATTACTGAAAGGGCGATACTCCCCAAATTGATCTACAGAATCAATGCTGACTCTTGTAAAATCCTAGCTTGCTTTTTTTAAAAAATAGAAATTGACAAGCTGATTTTTAAATTTATATGGAAATTCTAGGGTCTAAGTATAGCTAAAACAACCTTGAAAAAGAACATAAGTGGAAGACTCACACGGATTTCAAACTATAATAATAAAGACAGACAGTGTGGTATTGGCATCAAGGGGACACTTAGATCAATAGAATAGGACTGAAGATGTAGAGGGGGAAAATACAAACCTCACACATCTACAAAGAGTTGATTTGTGACAAGGGTGCCAAGAGCATGCAATGGTGAAAGAAGTCTTTGCAACAATTTGTGTTAGGGCAGCTGAATATCCACATGCAACAGACTGAAGTTGGGACCCCAATCCCATACCATATATAAAAATTAACTCAAAATAGATCAAAGACTTAACTAAAACTATAGAACTCACATGAAAACGTAGGTGACCCTAGCGTTTAAGAAGTATGGATTTATTTTTAAGTGCAGCAGGAAGCACTTGGAGGGTTTTAAGAAGAAATGGCTTGATCCTATGTAGAGAAACAAGAGAGGCACGGGGAGATCAGTTAGGAATCTACAATTGTAGTCCAGGCAGAGACACAAGATCCATGGATTAGGGTGTTGGCTGTGGGACTGTAAATTGCTGCTGGCAGTCAAGTAAAATGGATATTGAGAAGGAAAAATTGGCTTTGTTAACATGCAGATCACTAATGTCCTTGAAAGAGCCTTTCTGTGGAGAGATGCCCAAGTGCCAAATGAAGTGAATCTAGGAGAGAATGTTAGGTGAGAACGTGTAAGGGCAACTATTTTCATTTGACTGATACTTTCTAAACATAGTGCACGTTTTGATTTGCATTTGTTATACCTGGATTTCTGACTTCGCATCTCTGTATTACTGCATTAAGAAAATTGAGGGATAACATACATCCTAAATTGCATAAAGTGTACTAATCTTAACATTTACAGCTCGATGGCTCTTTACGTTTGTGTACACCCTTGTGAAATACTGTTCAGAACAAGGCGCAAAATATAAAGGGTACCTCATAAGGTTTCCCTGTGCACTTTTCCAATCTATAATCCCCCAGAGGTAAATCAACATTCTGACTCATATAAAAATCCATTAGCTTTACTACAAAAGTTTCCAAAAGAGACAAATGAAAATCTGAAGGGCATTTAATCGCAAACTGCTTAAATTTCCCAACTGGCTAGAGAAAGTATAAAATGCCAATCACTTGGCGCCAAATCCAGTGGCAGACTTTGAAACCCTTCCTCTCCGAAGCCCCGCCCACTTTCTACGCAGCGCCTCTGGTTCGCTTTGTTCCTTCCCAATAATACTGGGGCACACAGGCCCGGCGTACGGAAGGGACCGCTTTTCTGTCATGCGCACTAGGGATAGTCGCTCTACCCTCTGTACTCAGCCTACTGGAACGAGGCCTTCACCGGCGCATTCGGAGTCCGCTAGACGCGCGCGCGGGCACGCGCGTGTCCTGACGCGCGGTCTTGCGCATGAGCAGATCATCCCGCGAGGGCGGAAGTGAGGGGCCGGTCCTGGGAGGTGGGGGCTATCGCGGTTACTGGGGGTGGGCGAGCGGCCGACATGGCGACCCCCGGGAGTCTTGTAGTTCCCGTGGCAGTGCTGGTGCTGTTGCTTTGCGGGGCTCCCTGGGCCCACGGACGGCGGAGCGACGTGCGCGTCGTCACGGACGAGAACTGGAGAGAGTTGCTGGAAGGAGAGTGGATGATAGAATTGTGAGCGCGGGGTGATTGTCTCAGGGTCCCCTCGGTGGGCTGGGCTAGCCGGGGTCCTAGGTCCGAGTCTGGACACCAGACTTCATCTCCCCCCTGACCCTTCTCTGCGGCCCAAGTTCCTGGGGACTCCCACTGCGGACTGCGGAGCTCGCGCCCCCGCTGCCTCCAGATCTCCAAACTGCTCTGCGGACCGGGCGCCGGCTCGGTCCTTCCCGCTTCTCGTTTTCACCAAGGAACATTAAGTTTCTTCTAAAACTCCACTCTGGTTTCGTGTTTAAGGCTGTAGTGTGCCTACGAGATTGCGTTCCGGTTCTCTCAACTTTAATTCATGGCTTTGGGGGTGGGGTGGTTGGGATGACTAGTTCCTATACAGTTATTTATTTTAGAATGATGTTTCACAAACGGACTCGACTCATTTTTACCATATTTTACAAGAGAGGAATTTGAGCAGAACCTCTCTTCTTTTGTCTTATTATCCTTAAAAGGTAGCGCATTTATAGTGTTGGAATTTGGGACTCTTTGTTTTAAATTTTATTTCATGGATTAGGTATATTTTTATTTTAAATGTCAAGCAAATTTAAGTTGGGTCATTTTAAAATCTTAATTCCCTTTATTGTTTTTTCTTTTATTTTTCTCATTCTACACTTAGCATTTTTCTTTGCTCGTGTGTTTTTGCAAAATACTGATTGTCCTGGGTTGTGACTCTTAATGCTGTCTGAATGGTACCGTATGAAAAGATGGGTGAATGTCATTGTAAAATGTTTCAAGAAAATCGTTTCTGCGGTGGTTCTGTTATAATAAGATGCATTCTGCATCGGTAGAAAATAAATAATCTACCTTTGCTTTAGTTTGCAAATTGGTGGTAGTGATGGGCGGTGTTACCGATACTGGTGGTGTTATAAAAAAACACCGCAGAGTGTTACTGTGTTCTAGATACTGCTAAGCACTTTACATACATTGTTATATTTAGTTCTCTCAAAATTCTATAAGAGAGGTATTATTTCCCACATTTTACAGATAAGAAACATACCTAAAGACTTAATTAACCTGTCCAGATACTGCTTTTTTTCAGCTTCTAAAGCAGGGGTGTCAAACTCATTTTCACCGGGGGCCACATCAGCCTCCTGGTTGCCTTCAAAGGGCAGAATGTAATTTCAGTTCCTTAACAATTAATGAGTAGTTAACATTTATACAGTCCTAAAATTATTGCTGCCCTTCGAAGGCACCTGCTAGGCTGATGTGGCCCCGGGTGAAAATGAGTTTGGCACCCCTGCTCTAAAGCCTAACAGAGTAGGCATGCAGTGATAGCTGTTAGTACACCCCCCTTCTTTAACAAGGTTCTCAGTGTTTTCCTGTATTTTCCAGTTGCCAGTTTAGGAGGCAGGTGAAAGTGGACATCATTAAGAGAAAACCCAGAAGGCCAAATCCTTAAGTCTTGAGTGGTAAAATAAAAAAAGATATAGAACATCTATATGGAGGATAAGATAGGAGAAAATGTGTACAGTGTGCGTATAATCTGTGACTCAATGAAGTGCATTTTCAGGCACCGTTGGAAGTTGCAGGGGAGATAAAATATAACAAGTGACAGCATTTAGTTTTTATTGTCATGAGGAACTTGTTTTTTAATTGTGCCCATAAAATACTGTTTCATAAATAATGTGTTAAGCAACAGTGATTATGAATTTATATGCAAAATGCAGTCAAGTATTACTCAAGGAGATTTTTAAAAACTGAGTTTGATCAAACTATATAAATACTTACTCAAAAGTTAAGTACAGGGATTTGAATTAGAGTATCTGCATCTGTGAAATTAGAGTATATGATAGTGCTTTTTTTTCTTCCATAGCATACTAATTTTTTAGGCTGAATCTTCAAAAAGCACTCAAAAAACAAAAGGAACTTGGTAAAGGGATCTAGTTAGTAATCCTAATGCTAGTTATTACAAATCCGTTACCTACATTAAATTCATCCTCATCAAAAATTTTATTACAGAGATATTTTCATTGTAATACTATTTATTATTAGGAACTTTGGCTTTTATGTATGGTACTAGTCTTGTTCCATAATGCCTATTACTCTTAGGAGTCTTGTTTTTAATAAAACAAGTCAAGTATTATATATAATGGAGGACAGAAACCACTTTTGTATTTAAAAGTTATAGGCTTTATTCTTTCTGTTCCATTAAACTGAGGCAAATTATAAGATAATACACAATAAAGTGGCAAAGTCAAACCTGAGGGGAAAATCAGGGCCTTGAAAAATGCTGAATACTTGAGGAGTAACTAAAATTATAACGTGCTTGGCCATAGACTTGTAAACCTGAGGTCTTAAAAACAGGCTGACCAAAGGCTGGCCAAAAGAATTTGTTTGGCCTGTCTGGAGTTTGTGTCCATGGCTTATGTTTTGAGGTAACGTTTTTTAAAAAATAAAAATGCAAATTTTTTGGTTTCTTTTACATGAGAATAGCTTGCCATACTGGGCCAGCAATCCCTGTGGCAGTCATCCTGAGCAGTGGTTTCCTGCTTAAGATGTGGTGCAACTCTCCTTGTTCACCACAGCCCTGGGTGCTTCCTATTTTTCTCATACTGGCACCTTGCATCTGTGGCTCCTGCAGTGTGAAATTATTAAAACTGGTGAACTCCAAATGTAGCTTTGAGCTTTCTGGTGGCCACATTTTCATAAAGACATACAAAGGTATTTTTGTTTTTTAAAGAGCTGCTTTATGTGTGAAAACATCCTTATGTCTTAACTTATTCTCAGAATTACTTTTATGTGATTAGCATCATCAACTCATAGATCTTAATTGCCAGAGTGTTTGGTTCACGTTTAAAACTTTTTCATTTTCATGAAATGAACCACTCTGCCTTCTTTTTAGTATAAAATGTTCTTCACGATTACGCATTTTAGGATTTTTATTCCAGTATGGTTGTATTTGAATGTGTAACTTTTTTTTTTTTTTTACTATATTTCTCAGTTATGCACCATGGTGTCCTGCTTGTCAGAATCTTCAGCCAGAATGGGAAAGTTTTGCTGAATGGGGAGAAGATCTTGAGGTTCATGTTGCAAAAGTAGATGTTACAGAGCAGCCAGGTACTGTAAGTCTGTGGCTGGCTTTGTTTCTTTGCATACTTGATTGATAAGTTTATCCTGTTTTCCACATTGCATGGACTTTACCTTTCATTAGGTTTTGAAAACATAACTGTCTGCAGTCAATTAAGCCAACTCACCACCTCCCTGCTGAGGGCTCAGTGTGCAGTGACTTCAAAAAGCAGATTCCTTGGTCTCAAGGAGTGTGTGCAGCTCATTCCTTTTATGTGTAGGTCTAAGGGATCTTGGAGATCTCACTCTCCCTTCATTCTTCCCCACATAACTGCCTCTGATCTTCTTTGCTTTGTATCCCAGGCCCCAGACTAGTGTGTAAGAAATCCTAGAACACTGTGGTCCAGGTGGACAGTAGCCAAAGATACCATTTGCATCCATATTAAGCTTCAGGATAAAGAGCATGTCATTGAGGTTATTTGCAGAGTCAAGGTCATATTCCTTGACAAGTAGTATGAATCTCTGTAATTGTGTTCCAAATTTAATACCTGTGATTTGAGGACATGGGCTTTTAATTACAAAGCTTGCATCTGCATGGTTGTGGGGTCAAGTGTGCACTCCTGACTTGACCCTCTGGCCAAGAGGCATGTCCTGCCTTCAGGCATGCTCCTTTCTTAGTCCAGTCTCATCTTTCTTGTTCTTGCTCACAATATAGTACCTGGGTTCTTGACTCTGCCCAATTCCAAATGGTAATAATAGCTAATATTGAACACTTGCAGTCTTGTTAGCTCCTATTATTATTGCCCAGCTTATGATTCATGATGTGTTCCATTTCTAACAACATCTTAAACTCAGCCTTTGTTTTCTGAATGTCAGATGCAATTTGATTTGATTTTAGGCCTTTATAAATAATATAGACAACTGTTGGCACAGTATAATTGATCAAGTGTTTATATATAAATTCACTTTTTAATTGAGATTATGTGTAGTAGTTTTTTTTAAAAGTTGCTTAAGTAGATAATTAGGTTTTTTATTTTTCATGTTACAAAACTCTTAACCTGGCTAGTATAGCTCAGTAGATTGGGTGTGGGCCTGTGAACCAAAGCATCGCCAGTTTGATTCCCAGTCAGAGCACATGCCTGGGTTGCAAGCCCCCAAGAGGCAACCACACGTTGATGTTTCTCTCCCCCTCTTTCTCCCTCCCTTTACCTCTCTCTAAAAATAAATAAAATCTTTTAAAAAGAAAAAAAACTCAATTATTTTTTGTATAATTTAATATTTTTTTCTATTAGTATTTAAATCAGAATCAATTTTTAAGTGGTAAGTGATTGGCCCATATAAAACCTGCTCTGTACTCTTTCTTGTCTTTATTTGTAATCTTTATCATTTGCAGGACTGAGTGGACGATTTATCATAACTGCTCTTCCTACTATTTATCAGTAAGTATTTGAAGATTTGGTGGTTATGAAAAAGGATGCAGCATAGTGTAATCAGAATACAGGCCTCTGTCCTGGATTATGTTTAAAAAGTGTTATATTCATTAAGTGTATTAGAAGGTTTATTAACTACTAGTGCTGTTCTAGGTGCCTTTACATAGATGAATGATGTATGAAACAGCCCCTAATTTCAAAGATTTGTAGTTGTTTTCAAAGGTGATGTTCACATGAAATGATTTGTTACTCTTTAGCATAGTAAATGTTTTTGAGCCCAGAGTTGTGGTTAGTCCTGTAGGAAAATTGGTAAGGGAAAACCTGGGCTGGAGTGGTTTGTGGAGATTATGGGGTTTCAACGCAACCTTGGAGGTAGATTTCAAAAGTACAGAGTAAGCATTCTCTCCTGAGGGCATCTCATAAATAGTCGTAAATAGGAACATGTTATGTTAAAAAAAATTAGCTAAGAAAGTGCTGTAGCTCACCCTTGGGACAGTGGTAGGTGAAATGGTTAGGTGTAAAGTCAAAATGAACAAGATTGTATAGTCTTCAATATCAGGTCTTTTAGTTTGACTTTATCTTCTAAGGAGAGATAGGAAATCTCAAATCTGTAACTGCCCTTTACCTTAATGCCCATCTGGCTGGTGGGTTGAATGCCAGGAGGTATTCATTGAGCTTTCCTCATTAAAAGTTATGCAAACAAGTTGGCAATTTTTTATGTGTCTGTGTTTCACTTTCTTTTTCTTCTTCATTTTTCATGTCTAAATATTTCCCTATACCTTTTTTATTTTCTCATGCTCCCTTTGTATCTATTTAAATGTCTGTTCTCTGTCTCCATAAGTGCTTCTTTTCCTTTGCAATCAGTACTTTACTGTATCCCACAGTGTCTCTTAAGTGGCTATAATCAGACTCCCCCTTTCTTTTTTACTTCTCAACACCCACTGAACTTACCTGGAATTTCCTGCCCATTTTCTTTTAATCATGTTGTTTATTATGCCCATTCTCCTAACTTCTGACTTTTGAAATCCTGCCTGTCCTTCAAAAACAGCTCAAATGCCATTTCCCCCCCCCACAAATCTTTGGTTTTTGGCTTTCTTATGGTCTTTGGCTCTGGAAAGGATCCTTTAACCCTATGGTAGGTAGTAGGGAACTATTGAAAGTTGTTACATTTAACTGATAAAAATAGAAGTGTTAATTAAGTAGGGTTAGATTGCAGTATTATTTAAGGTAGTTTGGGAATGGTGAAGATGTGGGAGCAGGGAGAGCAGTTACCACCCTACAGCAGAACTCCATACACTGGGAATGAGAAGGACAAGGTGGATGTCAGGAAGAATGCACAGCAGACTGTAAAGTAGAATTACTGAAATGGGACAAAGGGAAGCACTTTACCTGATGCCTCCAGTGATTTAAGGCATGATGGCTGAGATGAGGTGATTATGACTGAAAATACCAGAGAATTGCCTTAAATGTTTTAACTTACAGTTAACAATCACTGACAATAACTATCAGACACTCTTCTAACAACTCTTCGTGTAATTTATGTATTACACATAAGGCTTAAAAGTTATTTTCTGAGATTTACCTCCTTTGCGTCTGTCTGTCTGTCCCCCCCCACCCTGTTTTATTGAGATATAATTGACATATAATGACTTATTTTGTTTCCTGGTTTTATTATTTGGAAGAGTAACAGTGATAGTCTTAGGCTTATGATTGTGTAAAAATATAACCTCATTGATTAAATTTGGGGCTGAGATGTCATGAATTGATAATTAATGTAACTTGCTACTTGTGCTTTGCCAATGATTTTGAATATTAGTATTAATTGTAAAGAGATTAAAGAAATAGCAAAACAAATACAAAGTTTATTTATTTGGTGCTGGATAATACTTATTCTTATCTTTTTAGTTGTAAAGATGGTGAATTTAGGCGCTATCAGGGCCCAAGGACTAAGAAGGACTTCATAAACTTTGTAAGTGACAGAGAGTGGAAGAGTATTGAACCTGTTTCATCATGGTTTGGTCCAGGTTCTATTCTGTAAGTATGAGGGGTTTTTTTCTTATTTATTTCCATTTTAATTGGAACAGGTAATTATGTTTTGTGTAAAGAAAGCATTCTTAGGCTCTTAAAGTATATTCAGATTTATTATGTGATTATTTTTGATTTGACTCTTCTAGGTTAAACAAATACTTTGATTCTTATTAAGCGAGGAGACATTTTATAGCATTAACTTGAAATCATTTTCAGGAATGTGTTAACTCTGAGGATAGGTAATTTCTATCATCAGAAGCTAAATGATGCTCCTGAGTAAGAAGAAGTGGGAAAGTTGTCATTTGAGCTTAATATTTGAATGAGAAGCTTCAAACATGTATCTACTTGTGCTACCTTTAGATTTTAGTTCTTTATTTAATGTGATTGAATTATTCTACCAGTGTGATAACTTTTTGTTTGATTAGATGGGGTGAACAATGACCTTAATATCCCTGATGGCATGACTAACCACTGAGCTTTACATATAACTAGAGGGCAACAGCTTGCTATGAACAGTAAGGATTGGAGATAGCATGTATATTTCCTGCTAGTTGTTGGGGTGTAATACCTCATGGGTCACTCAAGAGACTTTCAAGAGTATTGAGTTTTGCTAAGGTCACTATGGATTTATCCTGGTGTGGCTAAGCTGTCTCTTCCTGTCTCTTCACCACACTTGCTGTTGGACTATTGGGCACTTGAGACACCAGTGGTGGAAGAGGTAAAAAATGGATTCTGGGAGTAGGGAGAAGATTGGCTCTAAGCATTATTTTGAAATAGAATTTATCTTCTACCTTCCCCTTACACCTCTCCTGTGAAAATCTGAATTGATATGTCCTTTTCTGTCAGAATTTCTCCACTGTACCACCATGTCAACCTAATTGAGGCACCAAGTGTTTGTGATGGAGTCTAATTAGTTCAGAGTGTAGGGAGGCTTTATGTTTCAATTCCTTGTTCCTCATCCCATTTGCATTTTAAACAAAAGCAACATGATTAAGGTACCTTTCTCTGTTGGACCGGAAATGTAACTGATTTTTGTTTTTTTGAAATCTCATAGGTGAATCTTCTTAGTCTTTTGATAGAAGAAGGAATTTGCTTCTAAGTCTCTGCTGAGTCCTCAGGGCAGCAGTCTGTACCTTTTTTATTGGTGAACTGAATAAGGGGCTCTCCAGGTGTCAGCTCAGCAGATTCACTCCTCCAATGATGGGTAGTTGGATTAGGTCCCGCATATAGGAACTTTGGCTTGTGCATGAATTGGTTTATATGTTGGTGGTAATACTTTTGATAGAGGGAAAACAGTTGGGAACAAACAAACCAGTCCTTTTTTTTGGAACATGCCCTTTACCTATCCATCTAAACTGTTTGGATTTAATTATGTGAAAATAATTATTTTTACTTATATGATAACTTAGCATTTGTTTCCTATATAATTAGTTTATATATCATTAAACTATATCAAACTAAAGCTATTGTAAGTTTAATTTTAGTATGAAAGGTGGGTAATTCTAAGGTGGGGAGGATCTGCCCAATATGTGCACCTAGTTCTTCCGTAAGGCTCTGCTTGTGAAAGGATTCTGTGCCCATTTGCTTTACAGTATGCCTGACTTTAACTGGTTCCATAGAGCTTGTAACCTCTTATGCAGAGTATGTTGGAGAAGTCATCAGATGAAAGGTGAAAGGTTAATGTCAAAGCTGTAGGAGAAAAGGAAAAAAATGACTGTGTTTTATGTATGAGGACATCACATAATGGGAACAATTCAGAAACTTAATTTTCATTAACAAGTCTCATTAAAGTCTTGAAATTAGTGCTGTATGACTAATCTTCATTAACATCAATAAAATCTGGCCTGCTGAGATTATAGAGTGAAAAATAGAAGCTATAGCTATATACACATATATTCTACTTCAAAGCTGTGTACCTTACTCAGTTTTTCAATCATTTCTCTTTCATTTTAGGATGAGTAGTATGTCAGCTCTCTTTCAGCTATCTATGTGGATCAGGGTATGGGCTAAAATTTTATTTCTCTTTTAAACATTTTTGACAGTATTACTTTTTTCCAAATGAGCAGGTTTTTAGGTTATTTTTTTTCTTTTAATTTTAGACTTGCCATAACTATTTTATTGAGGACCTTGGATTACCAGTATGGGGATCATACACAGTTTTTGCTTTAGCAACTCTGCTTTCAGGACTATTACTAGGACTCGTAAGTACTTTATTTTCAGAGTAGTAGGAAGAAAAATATCTTAAAACTTGATAATTTTATATAGTTCACTAGCTTTATAATATATTATATATTTGGCTTTCTTATGTTTATTTTTGCAGTGTATGATATTTGTGGCAGATTGTCTTTGTCCTTCAAAAAGGCGCCGACCACAGCCATACCCTTCCAGTAAGTATATTTTTATTTTATTTTAGGATATATTATTACTTATTTATTCATTTTTTAAATTTATTTTTTACTACAGTTGACGTGTTTTAGTTTTGGGTATACAGATTAGTGGTTAGACATGAATAATATACCTTATGACAGCAGTTTTCAACCTTTCTTTTCATGGCACACATAAACTAATTACTAAAATTCTGTGTCATTCCAAAAAATAGATTTTTTGCCTGTCTGAAAATAAAAATAGGTATAATTTTGAATCATTTACACTGGATGGCTCATTTTGTGTTGGCTGTTGTCATTTTTTTAATTTGACAATTTAGGGAAAAGAGGTCAGTGCCCCTGACGAGTCAGGTACTGCATGTTTTAAAAATTCTTACATATACCGGTTGAAAATTCCTGCCTTACAAAGTGATCACTCCAATAAGTCCTAGTACCCATCTGACATTATACATAGTTATTACGATATTATTGACTATTCCCTATGCTGTACTTTATATTCCCGTGGCTTTTTTTTTTTTTGAAGCAGATTTTTTTTTAATTTTATTTATTTATTTTTTAGAGAGGGAAGGGAGAGAGAAAGAGGGAGAGAGAGAAACATCAGTGTGCGGTTGCTGGGGGTCATGGCCTGCAACCCAGGCATGTACCCTGACTGGGAATCAAACCTGCGACACTGGTTCGCAGCCCGCACTCAATCCACTGAGCTATGTTAGCCAGGGCCCCGTGGCTGTTTTTTATAAGTGGAAATTTGTACTTCTTAATCCCTCCTTTCCAGCTTAGGTTTCTAAATATGGAGGGTGGCTTATATCAGGAGAAGAAGGAAGAGAATATATATTTCATGTAAGAATAACAGCTCCATGGATTTTGGAACACATTTATTTTCCTTTAAAATGTGGAGAATTTTAATATTGCATATAATTTGCAGATATTTAACATTGATATCAATTTATTTGAAAATTCCATGGTATTCGTAGATCCATTTGAACATGAGTGCAAAAAAGTTAAATATATTCTGCTTTGGAAGTCATTCATTGCTATAGGGTGTTTGAAGATTTTTTTTTAGTTAGCCACATCTTAAGTTTTTCTGGTAGGAAATTGGGAAAAGCAATTCCTATAGTTGATTTAGGATTGACAGTGTGGTATGAGTTTACATAATTAGAAGTATTCACTGCTGTCTGTCTTGATATAATAACCTAGCAATCATTTATTTTCAGTCTTGAAAATTACATTGTTATGGAGGTCCTCTTATTTGCTGTTTGTAAAGAACTTTCAATTTTCATCATCCCATTTGCTTTTCAGCAACCCTCTAAAGTGGACTGCATAAAAGCAACATTCTTCCTATTTTGTGATTGAGTAAACTAAGGCCCAGAGAGACGAACTATTTTCCAAGGTCACACAGAAATGACAGAATTTAGAGTAGAACCTAAATCAGACTCTTGGCCTGGCCTTTCCATGTGCTGCCTTTCATGACTTAGGATTTATTGAGGTCAAAACTCCTTAAATGAAGTCAGTGGAGATTGCATTTCTGGTTTACTTTGTTCATTGAATAACTGATAGGTTTTCTTTTCATTTTGTAAGTAATTGCTTTAATACTATAAAAAGGACATGTATTGGGGAAGGAAACATTTTATCCACCAAGGGCCTCTTCCCTATAGGAAGAAAAATGTGAGCACAGATTGCTTAACAGACAGTTTAAAAGTTAGTGAATGCATATTTTATTTCACTTCAAAAACCTTAACCAAACAAATGTGTCTCTTAAGTAATCTGTCACACAACTGATAGTGATCCATACTTTGTGGTATTGCCCCTTTTAATAATAGCCTTAATGATTTGAATTGTTTTCTAGTATGTGTTTGGCTTAGATTTTGAGTTGCTTAGGGAAAGACTCATCTCAGTCTACTTTTAAGCAGAGTAGGAATTTATTGGTTTATGTAGCAAGGAAATCTGAGGGTAGAGTTGATTGGATCTTGGGGCTCACATATTAGGATGTTATGTTTCTGAACTGCTCAAGTTCTTGCCGTTATTTGCTCCATTTTTGTCTCTCTTCAGTCCTTAGCATAAAAGTGATAGCTCACAATTGCAGAGTGAGAAGGAAATATGTCTCTCCCCACAACCAACCATCTTTTGGGAAAATTCGGGTGTATTCCACTTACCTAAACGGTTCACTTTTTGGAACAGTCACTGTAAACCAAGGGTTTCTGAACCTTGACACTATTAACCTTTTAGGCTACATAGTTTTTAATTATGATGGACTGTCTTTTGTATGTTGTTGGGTGTTCAGCAGCATCTCATTGATCACCAGCAGCACTACCTCCCCATTGTGACAATCAGAAATTTTCCAGACATTACCACATGTTCGTTGTTAGGGCAGAATCACCCCTGGTGGAGAACCACTGCTATAAACTATAGTGCTCACCACACCCACATGGAATGTGGTATAGGGAAGAGGCTATTAACCAAACGGAAAGAGGGATGCCAGACAGACCAAAGAACAGATTGTTCACTACATGGTAATTTACTCGTATAGCTGCTATGTTTTTCCTCCTCCATTCTGGATTGCCTGGAACGAGCAGCAGTCTATCATCTCTGAAGAGAGTGAAGCTCATTGGCCCAGTTCTGTGCTCTGTATCTCAGTTTAACATGGTGTGGTCTAAGTTTATGTTAACTAACAACAGGTCTTGTGAAAAAAAAAAAAGTATACGTGTACATATTTGAAAATTCATGGAGCTGTGCACTTAAGATTTGTACATTCTATTGTTTGCAATTATACCTTAGTAAAAGTATATGTGGATTAGAGGAAACACATTTATGAAACTACTTGGAAAAAAAACATGCATAAGAATATAACCTTCAACTAACTATAAATGTCTGATTGCTATTCAGTTGGGAACTGAAACAAGGGTAATGTTGAAATTTGTTCTGTATACTTATTAATTAAAAGATTTAATAGCAAATTAATATAATTGTATTTAATGCAGTATATTTTTTACAACATCCATTTTCACAGCATTGATTCTGATTTGTTAATTTCAATTCATAAATAGGTAATTATAATGAACTTGGAAAGTGAAATGGATCTTGTAAACCAACTTTTATTTTTATGGTATCTCTTATTCTTGAAGACAACTTTTTCCTTTTGGACTGATAAATAAATGCCAAAGCAGTTTATGGGCATAAGAAATCAAGTCTTGACTTTATACTAATGCAAATCTAATTACATCAACAAAAAATATTTTGTGGTCTTTATCTTTAAGAAAAATTATTACCAGAATCTTCTCAACCTTTGAAAAAAGTGGAGGAGGAACATGAGGCTGATGAAGAAGATGTTTCAGAAGAGGACACTGAACATAAAGAAGGAACAAATAAAGACTTTCCACAGAATGCCATAAGACAACGTTCTGTGGGTCCTTCATGGGCCACAGATAAATCTTAGTTAATTTTTATAAATATCTTAATATAATTTGGACAGAAACAGAAAATTAATCATTTCTTTTGGTTTGAAGTGAACTGTGACTTGTTCCTTGCAGGATTCCATCTATTTTGTCATTAGATTGAAAGGTCTCCCTTTAGAAAAGAAATGGAGCATTATGTGAAAAGTTTGAAGTAGGATATAACAGCAGTATGGTGGTTTAAACAGTTCTTTAAATCTTATTGCTGGTGCCAAGCAATAAGATTTGTGTGTTTGTTTAATAATGACCTTTTTCATAATAAAATTTTTGAGGTTGAAAAATTACATTTCCCAAGTATTGCATTATTGAGGTACTTAAGGAGATTAGAGAAAAAGATTTCTCATTTAATAAAATTTTCTTGTTTCACTGTGTGAAAAAACAAACAAATATATTTCCCATAAATGGGAACTTTGCCCATTCTCTCAAGAAATACTATTTCAGTGATAATTTTGTGGTCCTTTTAGAGAAAATAGTCTAAAATTTCCTCAGTTTTAAATAATGCAACTAATAAAAACTAACCTTATTTTAATTACAGTTTTTTTACACATGATAATATAGGATAGGCTCCTAATTTAGGAAGTTTTTGTATGTCCATGGTGTTGCCTTGATTCCTATAAAGTTTGGTTACATTTTTTGTTTCTCTGTTCAGCATATCTTTCTTACCATGGGTTACATTTTTCATTTTCCAAATTGGAGAATATCCTGGAAATATTTTTCATATTTTAATAAATAGTACTTTATTTTGTTGTTGTAGTACTTTATTTTGTTGTTGCAAACTGAAGTTTACTGAGGGATGCTTAAAACTGAAGAGCTGTCTACTGATTTAAAATTTTGGCCACTTATTTCAGATTTTAAATTATTCTTGTTGAACTTGTACTTGGACTTTTTTTGTATTTTTGATGTGAAGGTAAACATTCCAGACTTTTATTTGATGTGGAAAAGCCTCTGCATTTTATGTTTTAAAAATTGATGGAAGCTTAATCTGATATAAAATAAAGTTAGGATTTTACTCAGGAAAAAGGACCTTTTACAGTGTTAGTTTTCAATGTACATTCATCCTTATACAGAAAGTTCTTGATTTTACAAAGTCAGTGTACGCTTGGTGTTTTAAAATCATAGTATTTTTATGTCTTTAAGAAGACAAACTTTGTATTCTACACTTTCTACTATGTGGTATTTCACAGGTGGGAATCAGCAGGATGGGACATTTAACATATTTTTACTCCTTAAAGAGTTAGCACCTTACAGCAAAAGTGGGATCAGTGTGGGGCGGCAATAGAGAACTGTATTGGCTACAAAAAGGTGAAAACCGTAAGTATTCAGAATGATCACCTGTGTATTATGTAATCAATGTAGATGATTTCTGTAATGTCCTCTCTCATGTAGATTCTGCTTCTTTGTTCATTAGACTTACAGTTTCATAGTACACAACAGTTTTCTTTAAAGGCCTCTCCTTTAGAATATTAAGTATTCCACCACTGAGGAGTTTGGATGTACAGTAATTTTGTGATGCTTTAGAAAAATATTATAAGCACAAAATAAACTTTTCTAAGACTTCATTAAAACTGAAGATGTATGATTTCTAGTTGCATATTTAGAAATGTTTACTATGTATTTAACAATGTTCCGATGAATAGTTGGGTCACTATGTACTTGATGATGTGTAATCATACACATCTTTTTCTGTTACTTGAGCAAATGATAGAGGAAAACAGTTCTCAGAACCTCCGAAATCACTTTATTCATAAATGGAGTAAATGCTTAATTAAGCATTCTATTTTCTTTTTTTTTTTAAGATTTTATTTATTTTTAGAGAGGGAAGGAAGGGAGAAAGAGGGAGAGAGACATCAGTGTGCAGTTGCTGGGGGTCATGGCCTGCAACCCAGGCATGTACCCTGACTGGGAATCAAACCTGTGACACTGGTTCGCAGCCCGCGCTCAATCCACTGAGCTACGCCAGCCAGGGCAGCATTCTATTTTCTAGTTCCTAGTATACATAAATTATAAATTTCAAGTTCTTAAGTAATTAGAAAAAATATATATACACAGCAAATTAGAAATAGGCAGAACAGGTAGAGACTTGATATTTCAGAAAACAACATCTTTCAGTTCTTTAGGACTGTCACAGTAGACATCTGAATAAGCAGTTTTCCAGCACATCAGAAGCTCAGAATGATATGGGATAATTTTACCTTTAAGGGACCTCTTTTTCCATTATTGGTTTATTGGGGCTCAACATGGCATTTTAACTACAGATCACTTAGGAAAGAATGAGAGGCAGCAGCATTCTGGAGAACTCTGCCACTCCACCCACTCTCCCCCATCACCCAATCATCATTCATCTCCACCATGGAAGTGTTTAAAATCTGATCACTTCAATGGGAAATGTAGTGTTCTACCACACTGCCTAAATACTTAAAGACGATTCTTGTGTCTGTAATAATAGCTACCATTCATTGATTACCTATTAAGAGTTTTTCTAAGTTACTGTTAATGATTCTTTTAGTCCCAACTACAACCTACAGTAGGTAAATATCACACATCTTTTAGGTGAACAGGCTCAGAGAGTTATGATAGAAATAGGTACAATGTGAATCCAGTTTTGATTTCAAGTCTTGTGATTTTTTTTCAGTAGGAGTACTAAAGATTTAGCAGTCTATATGTTAAATTTAAATGTGAATTTTAATACTTAAAATTGCACTCATCAGACTGTTGTAACAACAATATTCTATTCAGAATAATCAGAAGTCAACATTCAGAAATATCAGAATTCAGTATTTGAAGTCTTGTGATTTTGGGTACTACATAAACAATCAAGGTTATTATTCCAATAACTCTTGCTTTTGAAAACAATTTTCTCTCAAGTCATTTGTCTCCTTTTTCAACCCAATGCATAGAAAGCGTAGTTCTGGGCCTAGTTATCTTATGATAAAATTAACATTTTTGAACATTCTGATCCGTAGTTTAAGGTAGAATTCTTTCAAATTATTTAATTTTTTTCCAGCTTTACTGAGGTATGATTGACAAAACATTAATTCTGATGTGAATCTTTTATTAATAAGATCATTGATTTAGGAAGGAATTTAAACAAGTGGCCCTATGGAGTAATTGTATAATTCTGAAAGTAAAATTTTAAATTGATATTCTACTTGCAGATTTAGATGTCTGTTTCACTCTATTATAAATGGTGATAATATCAGTATTTTGGCTGTGATATCAATGTCCCTCCTTTTTACCACTTTGGTTGTGTGTGACAATACTTTCAAACCTGTTTTCATTGTGGTGTCAACTCATTCTGGTTGTATCTTGAAAATGAAAACATAAAAAATGAAAATAAAAGAAGTCAGTTGACCAAAGAAAGGTTTGATTTATCTGAAACTTCTTTTAAATCAAAATATAATTAAGAGAGTCATTTTAAATTCAGTGAAAATATACTTCACTTTGAAGAATAACTTAAGAATTTTTTAAAAACTTCCCTAGCTTTAGTGTATGGTAAGGCTTGTCATAGAAACAGGGTTACTAGTTGATTGAAATATATCAACTTATGTATTTGGAAAGATTCAACATTGCTACCTGGGCATTCCTCTGAAACTTTCTCTAAACTTTGGATATCTCTGCTCCTATAGAATCAAATACATATTTGACTGGAAATTTTAAATGCTCCTAACTATGTCGTCTTTTACCAACCCAATGGCTATTCCTGAAACTACTTTAAGAAATCAATTCCCATGAACATGCTTCACAATCCATTTGTTGGTTCAAAAGTCAGCTCAAGTCCTGTAAGTCCTTTCTGGCCCACATAGTTTTTTTTCTTTTCATATAGTGTGGGTTTTTATCATTTTCTGGTCATTAAATCACATTCTGTCTTGTAATATTTTTTTTGCACTTAACTATACCAGTTAACTGAGTGACACTGAGCAATTCACTATACATCTCTAGGCCTCTATTTATGAGTAAAGTGATTTCTGAGGTTCTTTACCTTTAATGGGATAATTGTTACATTCATATTTTGTCCTAAAATTGATTAACTTCTTGAGGCCTGAACCTCATTGTTAATTTGAGACAAAGCATAGTGTTGTGGGAGACTTCTGGGCAGTGGTCAAGGGACTCCTGACTAGGAATGCGACTGCCACATTTCTGGACATGGATTTTTGTATTTGGGAAATGAAGTTAAGTAGTTCAATATTCAGGTAAAACGAAGAAGTTCTTAAAATGAACAATGAAGTTATTTGTCACTTCAGCTTTCTGGGCAAGTTTCTAGGAATTTTAATACCAGGTAAATGAAAACGGAATAATAAAGTTGTTAATGTGTACAGTAAGCTGTGTGGATGTGAAGAATTTCAGTTGTCAGTATCACTCCTTTGTTGCCATTTGGCCTGAGCTGAAAAATTCACATCTTTACTCCCTATCTTCACTATCACTTGGGGCATCACAATGTGTCCGTTTTCCAAGATGATTGTTAAAACATCCGTAAGTGTTACTAGGTTTTTTCAGTTCTTTTCATTTGATCATTTAGTCATGTGACAGAACAAGAGTTGAGTAGCAGCATTAAAAACGTGGTCACCCCTCTAAGCCACTGGAACAGATAAATACTAGGAGAAGGTTTGTAATTAGTTTTTAGAGTTCCAATAAGCCATGAGCCAAGAGTGTGCAAATTAAGCCAAAAGAACAGAGTTGATTTCCAATATGATGAGTTTGCAGTACCAGATACAGGCTTATTAGCCAATTTACTTAATTTTGTGATTTCTTTGTGCTAGAGAGGTCTGCAGGGTTACAAACCCCATTTCCCTTTAAAGTGGCACGTGCTCTCTCTCAAGACAGCAGTATTATATCTAATGGGCTCTTACTCAGTTTAATTTCCTGAACCTCTCAGATGAAGAATTCTATAGCTGTGGCTTTTTGTAGTTGTTCAATTACAGTTGTCCCCATTTTTCCCTTGCCCTACCTCCCACCTCCTCCATTTCAGTCCTCCCCCCGCCATCATTGTTCATGGGTCCCTTATACATGTTCCTTGACTTGACCCTTCCCATTCTTTCCCCCATTACTCCTCTCACCCGCATCTCGTCATTGTCAGTTCTTTTCATGTCTCTGCTTCTGTTTTGTTTGCTTGTTTTGTTCATTAGGTTACACTTATGGGTGAGATCATAGGGTGTTTGTCTTTCACTGCCTAGCTTATTTCACTTAACGTAATACTCTCCATTTCCATCCATGCTGTTTTAAAGGGTAGGAGTTCTTTCTTTCTGCTGCATAGTATTCCATTGTGTAAATGTACTACAGTTTTTTG